TCAGCCTAGCTCACAGCAACCTCAAACTCTTGGGCTCGAGCGATCCTTCTGCCTCAGCCTCCCGAGTAGCTGGGACTACAGGCATGCGCCACCATGCCCGGCTAATTTTTTATATATATATATCAGTTGGCCAATTAATTTCTTTCTATTTATAGTAGAGATGGGGTCTCGCTCTTGCTCAGGCTGGTTTTGAACTCCTGACCTTGAGCAATCCGCCCGTCTCGGCCTCCCAGAATGCTAGGATTACAGGCGTGAGCCACCGCGCCCGGCCTGTTATTTTGTTTTTGATTTGCGTTTCCTTACTTACTAATGGTGTTGAACATCTTTTCATGTGCTTATTGACCATTTGTATATTTTCTTTGGTGAAATGTTTATTCAAATTCTTTGCCCATTTAAAAAATTGGTTTGTCTTTTCATTTACAGAGTTTTTTGTTGTTGTTGTTTGAGACAAAGTCTCACTTGTTGCCCAGGCTAGAGTGCCATGGTGTTACCCTGGCTCACAGCAACCTCCAACTCCTGGGCTCAAGCGATCCTTCTGCTTCAGCCTCCCGAGTAGCTGGGACTACAGGCATGTGCCACCATGCCTGGCTAATTTTTTATATATATATATCAGTTGGCCAATTAATTTCTTTCTATTTATGGTAGAGACGGGGTCTCGCTCTTGCTCAGGCTGGTTTTGAACTCCTGACCTTGAGCAATCCGCCCGCCTCGGCCTCCCAAGAGCTAGGATTACAGGCGTGAGCCACAGCGCCCGGCCTTCTTATGAGGTTTTTAATTTTGCTAAAGTACAGTTTATTTTTCTTTAGTTGTTTGTGCTTTTTGTGTCATATCTAGGAAATCATTGCCTAATCCAAGATCATGAAGATTTACTTACATTTTTTCTTCCAAGAGTTATAGTTTTACTTCTTGCATTTAGGTCTTTGATCATTTTTAGTTAATTTTTATATCTGGTGTGAGGTGAAGTCCAGTGTCATTCTTTAGAAAGTTAAATAGGTATACATGTCTCCCTTGTAATGTATATTACTATAATGATCCAGCGTCCCACTCTTACGTGCTTACTCAGGTAACCTCATCACGCTAGGATGACAGGTGTGAGCCACCAGGCTTGGCCTGTACAGTTTGAAGTTTGGTAGTGCGATGCCTCTAGCTTTGTTCTTTCTTGCTCAAGATTGCCTTGACTATTTAGGTTTTTTTTGTGGTTCCATATGAATTTTAGGATTGTTTTTTCTATTTCTATGAAAAATGACATTGGGATTTGATAGGAGTTGTATTGAGTCTGTGAATCACTTTGGGTAGTATGGACAGTTTAACAATATTCATTCTTCCAGTCCAGAATCTAAACCTTGAGATAATCTCCCTGCCTCAAGATTCTTAATCACCTCTTCAGAGGTTCTGGGGATTAAGATGTGGACATCTCAGGCAGGGGGTCCATTTTTCTGTCACACAAAAGAAATTATTTTGGTAGTATCTAAAATTGAAGATCATTACGGGGTGAGGTAAATTGAGAAATATGCTATTTTCTGGAAGTGCAAAATAAACGGATGATAGCACTTACGAGAGGTAAAGGAGAGCCGTGTGATGGTGTGTGCCTGTAGCTGCTCCCGAGGCCGAGGCTGGAGAATCTCTTGAGCCCAAGAGTTCGAGGCCACAGTGTGCTCCGATTGCATCTGTGAATAGCCAGTGTACTGCGGCCTTGTGCAACATCGTGAGACACCATACCTTAAAAAAGCCAAAACAAACAAAAAGTAAATGAAAAGGAAGGAAGGCATGGTGCGTTGCTGTTTGAGATTCTGTAATTTTTTTTTTTTTTTTTTTTGAGACAGAGTCTCACTTTGTTGCCCAGGCTAGAGTGAGTGCCGTGGCGTCAGCCTAGCTCACAGCAACCTCAAACTCCTGGGCTCAAGCAATCCTCCTGCCTCAGCCTCCCGAGTAGCTGGGACTACAGGCATGTGCCACCATGCCCGGCTAATTTTTTTTTTTTTCCTATATTGGCCAATTAATTTCTTTCTATTTATAGTAGAGACAGGGTCTCGCTCTTGCTCAGGCTGGTCTCGAACTCCTGACCTCGAGCAATCCGCCCGCCTCGGCCTCCCAGAGAGCTAGGATTACAGGCGTGAGCCACCGCGCCCGGCCTGTAATTTTTTTTAATGGCAAAGATGCACCTTAATTCTAATACTAGGACATCATAGAGTAATGTGCAAGTAAGAAAAAGCATCTTGTATATTAATTATTACTATGATCCTTATTTTGGGGTTGTCTTTTATTTATTTAAAATGTTACATTAGTAATACATAAATGCCTCTGCATATTAAAACTTTGTCAAGAAGTGTATGGAGCAAAAAGTGAAAATTCTCCAAGCATACTGTATTCCTTGGAGATACCTATTGGCGTACATTTTTCCAGACCTTTCTGCTGCACTTCATACATACGTGCTTTTGCTTTTTAAGAATTTTTTAGAATTTTAGTTTTTTCTATTTTACATAAATGAGATCACCCTATATCCAGTAGCCAATCCTTTTATTAAATGTTTTATACCACCTTTTTTTTTTTTTTTTTTTGGAGACAGAGTCTCACTTTGTTGTCCAGGCTAGAGTGAGTGCCGTGGCGTCAGCCTAGCTCACAGCAACCTCAAACTCCTGGGCTCAAGCGATCCTCCTGCCTCAGCCTCCCGAGTAGCTGGGACTACAGGCATGTGCCACCATGCCCGGCTAATTTTTTTTTTTATATCAGTTGGCCAATTAATTTCTTTCTATTTATAGTAGAGACGGGGTCTTGCTCTTGCTCAGGCTGGTTTTGAACTCCTGACCTTGAGCAATCCGCCTGCCTCGGCCTCCCAAGAGCTAGGATTACAGGCGTGAGCCACAGCGCCCGGCCTATACCACCTTTATTAAAGACATTGGCACCCAGAAAAAAAGAGATGATAGATATTAGATGATAATGATAACTATAATAGGTTTATTATACTTTTTTCCTTTGCAGGCATTATTCTCAGTACTTATTTTGACTTATTTAATTCTCACTGTTCTTATGAGGCAGGTGTTATTATTATCCCCCACTTTATAGATAAGGAAACTGAGGCAGAGAAATTAAGTAGCTTGCCCCATTTTATACAGGAAATGGAGCAACTTAGTTCCCACCTAGGCCATCTGGCTGCATAGTCTATACTGCACTGTTCTGCTCGTTTTGTATTTTACAGGAAAGGGCGAGGCACAGACAAAATGTGAATGAGCTGTCTGGGAATTAAAACCTCATTGATAAGTTGGCTTATTTTCTTCCCTTCTATAGTAGTTCCACAGTTTGTATCGTTTGCTCAGGTGGGATAAGGAAGGGTCTTCTGAAAGGGTCAAATCTGAGTTTATGAATTCTAGCCTGTTTTTTGTTAAGAGACAGTAGATTTCTAAATGAATTCTGATTTTATTTACTCCTAATAGTTTAGAGCAGGGGTCCTCAAACTTTTTAAACTGGAGGCCAGTTCACTGTCCCTCAGACCGTTGGAGGGTCATTGGAGAGTGCGGCGCACATTCCACACATGTGCACTGTGGGCCCGGGACAAAGTCGGCTGCTAAGCAGGACAGGCAGCGGCGGCAAAAACACCTAGCGGACTGGATAAATGTCCTCGGTGGGCCGCAGTTTGAGTGCCCCTGGTTTAGAGCGTGCCTGACTTTCATGATACTTGAGAACCTTCCGCTAAAATGAATATCTTCCTTTAAATTTGAAGTCCCCTGATCATTTTCTGTTTGCAAAAAAGAGAGATTGCTGTTAAAAAAGAAAAAAACAAATATTTGTGTCTTAGTTTCTAAATACCATTCTGCAACAAAAAAAGTCAGGAATCCTTACAGAAATGATTGATTCCAAATTCAGGGAAATAGAAGATGAGCCTAGAATATCTTTTAGTACCAGAAAGTAAGGAAATTATATATGTGTGTGTGTGTGTGTGTGTGTGTGTGTGTGTGTGTGTGTGTGTATGTGTAAAAAAGAAGGAACTCTCATTGACCAAACCTGGGACATTTGAACAACAACATAAATAATGGTAGTGTTAGTAATGGATTATCATCTATATAATTTATATAGTAAATATCCACAAATGTCTACTAAATTATTTAGAAACAGATTGGAAAAAGAATAGCTCTTCCTTATAGTAGGATTCTAATTAATACATGTGGAAGGAGTGATGGAAATAATTTGCTGATAGTAACAGTTTTTGTAGGCAAGTGCTACAAGTGGATGTGAAGTTAGAGAAAATGTGAGAAATGGGGTATTTGTAGTCTCAAAATATCTCTCCATGAGAGACTTATTAATTTTACAAAGGAAAAACTAGTAACTTTATGGCAGAGAAGCCTGACAGACATCACCTTAACCAGTGGTCAGAGTTTACCAGCTCCAGTACTAAGACAGATATATCAACATCACGTGCTCGCGATAACATACGCTGAGAAGGGCACAAACTCATTTCTGTGTTTCTCTTGCCGGGAATGCATAACCTCAATCTAATTATGAACAAATATCAGGCAGGCCCACATCAAAGGCTGTTTTACAAAATAACTGACTTGTACCTTCAGAAGTGTCATGGTAATGAGAGACAAAGAAAGGCTGGGCACGCTTAGAGATCAGAGACCAAGGCAACATGACAGCTAAATGCAGTGTGGGGTCCTGGACCAAAAAAGGGCAGTGAATTATTCGCCCAAGAAGGAAAGGAGAGTGTCGACTGCCCTTCTTCCCAGGAAAGCAGGGAGGCCTCGGCCTTACCGCTCTGCATTTACTGGCCTCTAAAAACAGGGCCCCGTGGCACGGCCGTGCGGGTGCAGTCCTGTTCCCAGGCCCTTGCCCTTCTGCGCGGTGTCCAGCACTCTGACATTCTGGCCCCACTTTGTTTTTATAATGAAATCTCAGATGTGCTCATTTCAATCCAGAGGAGATAATATTGAAGTCCGAATTTTGATCACCGAGATGCCATACTGTGTAAAAATCTCTTGTAAAATAACTGCTGTCTGTTGGTACAGAATTTCAGAAACTCTGGAGGAGTGTCACTGTGGATTCGATGGACGAGGAGAAAATTGAAGAGTATCTGAAGCGACAGGGTATTTCTTCCATGCAGGAATCTGGACCAAAGAAAGTGGTGTGTAATCTCTAGAAAAACAGTTTAACCCTCTGTCCCTGGAACTGTTAGCCTGCTTCCCATTCTGCTCTCTGAAGAGCAGGTAGTTGTTCTCCTGCCAGTTTTCTCCCTGTCCTAACTGGGCCTGAGAGAGCCTTTCCCATCACCTCGGCCCCTTCCTCGCAGTGCCTGCTCCCGAGCCCACGCCACACTGAGCTGTTTCTGGGGCCCCCGGGTTGCCCGTCTTCCAGTGAGAAGCCGCTGCGCACGCCGCACGCTCTGGTTTCTGAAAGGAGCCCACGTCTGCAGCTGCGTGGCCTGTGACACCTTGACTGTACTCCACGCCTGTCCCGTGGGCCTGGCGCTGGGCTCTGACACAGCCCTGAGCACCTTGACGTGTCCTTGTTGACTTCTAGGTCCCTTAGGAACCAGATATTTTTGTCTTTATAGCCCCTAAATCCTGCTGGGAGGAGGCATTAGAAATCAAATGAAGACTTGTAAATTGCTACACCAGCCAATCAGCCATCCACAGTTGGGGAACAAAGCCGCGTGGGGTTGGTCCCCGCACCTGCGCTACAGCTCTGTGCCGCTCTCCCTCTCCCCCGAGCACTGGCACGCGTTGTAGCTCGGCTTTCTGGTGTGTGTGTGTCTGTGTGTATGTGTTCAGTGAATTTTTAGGACTCAAAAAGGGAATATTTATTGCCAATGACCTGTCCACAAATGCATATAATTGCAGCCCTTGCCGACTTCCTACTATTGTTTAGTTTATTGATTTTTTTTCCTGTGATACTCATATTTCGAGTATCCAGAGAAGAATAGAGAATAATATTACAAACCTTGTGAGCCCATCCATTTCTCAGTATTTTGCCATATTTACTTCCGATCTTTTTTTATTGGTAATGGTGGATAGATTTTTTAAGCTGGTAACAGGCAGAAAACAAAGCCTCTCACTGCCTCTCTCTTGTTTTATCCACTTAGTGCCTAGAATGGTTCTGGTAAGTTTTCCTGTCAGCCCATTTCTTCTTGATGGAGGTTCCCCTCCCAGTGACAGGAAGCCTGGGGTCAGCTGGGGCGTGTGCCGTGGATGACATGAGCGTGACGCTGGGCCACAGAGCCGGGGACAGGCCCAGGCCCTGCATCCTTTGCCGCTGGCTCCTGGGTGTGCTCAGTTAACTCCTGTCCCTCAGAGTAGCTGTCGTGTTTCTCACTGTTCTTACCTTTTCCTCCAGGCCCCCATTCAGAGAAGGAAAAAGCCTGCTTCGCAGAAAAAGCGACGGTTTAAGACTCACAACGAGCACTTGGCCGGAGTGCTGAAGGATTACTCCGACGTGACTCCCGGCAAATAGGGCACCATTTGCCCCCGAACAAAGAGTTCCGAATACACAATCGAGATCCTTCTGGGTGATGCCTGGGCTCTGAAGACTGACTGTCTTCCCATTCTGCTTCCGAGGACTGAGGAGAGGAGCAGCTCAGTTTACAGAACAAGTGCAAATTACCGAGCTCACAGCTTATTTTGATTGAATGGGCTAATGAGATGTGTGAGGCTCTCTGTTAACCTCCTGTTACTTCTTGGGAGAAAGGCGCTTCGCGTGGCTCGCAGGCGTCCTTGCTATTTATTTCTACTTCTGAAGGGTGCCCGGTTCCATTTTTCCTCTTTTATTACTTTAGAGCAAAAGTTTGCAGATAGTCTTGAATGCAATATTTGTTTATTCCAAAGGAACGTATTTATAATAAAATCATTGTAGCAGGATTTTTAAGATGTTAGTGAATCCCGTTTGTTTCTTTTCATCCTTGGAAATGGCTGGAAGCAGCTCCAGTCCCTGCCTTCCATGGCGCACGCGTCTGGGATGCCGTGGAGACAGGGTCTGCACCGTGCCGGCGGGCTCGTGGACCTCGTGGAACACAAGGTGTGTCGCTCGTTAGCGCGTTAAGCAGTAAAGATGCACTAAATGTAATTGTTTGATTTTCAAAGGACAAATCAGTGTTCAGCCTCTTGGATTTATGCATTCCAAGGTGGCCTGGCAGTGTGTTGAACGAGGATGGGCAGTATTCTTTCTTCATCATCTTGCCAACCTGAAGGTCCCAGCCCTCATGTGACTTGACCCTGCAGTTCTGGTGGGGACGCCCTCTGTCAGCCCGTCACTGGTCTACCTTGTGAGAGCCATTATCGAATATGTGTCTCTACGGGTCATGGCGACCTACGGGAAATCAGCGTGGTCATTCCTGCCTTCTGTGGCAAGGTCTGCATTTTCCTTATCTGCATTTTCCATGTGTTCTGGGGTGACTGTTACAGTCTTCATGTCACAGATTGAAACTGTAGTGGGTTATAAACACACAGTCTGGTTTTCTCAAAAAGGTATGATGGTGACCAAAAGCAGTAAGTACTTTGTGCAGGTGACAGGGAGCCTTTTTGCATTTTTAGTTCTGTTTACCTTGTCTACTTACTTTTCATCCATATACAGCGTCATCTGTTTCCTTTACCACCGCCCCCCGCCCTTTTTTTTTTTTTTTTTTTTTACCTCCAAGCCCTAAAATGTGGCATGAGAGGATATAAAACTGAGGTTCCCCATGATAAATCTGGACCCAGGAAATTCAGCCCGTCCTGCTGTGCATTAGAAGTGTTTTAATGTCTGACGGCATAAAACTAGATTCCTATAAAAAAAATCTAGAGGTAGCTTCTCTCTAAGCAGGTGCCTACTTTTGTGGTCTGTACACTGCATCTATTTTATGGGCTAGGTCTGGAAGGGCAGTCTGGACATCTCAGAAACCTTTTCCCGTTTTGCAAGGAGGCAGATGTCAAGGCCCCTGTCATAGGCTCTGAGATGAGCTGCTGCACTGCCGCTGTGTGTCACTGGTGATGTCTAGCTGGGCCATTGCTCGTCAGTACTTAGTGGGGCGGCCTGATAATCGATCCCAGGTATCTTGCCTGACACTCATTTCAGAAATGAGGAAATTGAGATCTAGTGTAATGAAGTGATTGCTAAATTGCCACACTTACAAATTCTGTAGCTTTATGTTGTTTGCTTGCAGTTTCCGATCCCCATTTCTCCTGTTTGTAAGAGCAGTTCTCCATGCACTGCATGTTGAGGTGTCGGGATTGTGCCATCTGGCGGCATTTGGGGAGGACACACAGTCCTGGTGGAAAATCGTGATGGACGCCTAGTCAGTTGTGTTTGAGGATAGACTGCGGTACAGCATAAACGTAACTTTCGTATGCACTGAGAAACCAAAAAGAATGTGTCTTGCTTTATTGCGGTAATCACTTTATTGCTGTAGCCTGGAACGACGTCTGCAGCATCTCTGAGGTGTGCCAGTAAAAAGAAAGAAGGGCCTCTTAGCAGTTCTTCTGGGTGTCTAAAAATATATCCACCAGAAACTCCGAGCTGAAGTTGTGTTCTCGCCTGTTTCTGCTGGGTCTGTTGGCCACTTAGAAGCAGGAGGGAATGGGCACGGTTGGGTGAGTTAAGACGTTCGGACAGTCTGCTGCTCGTGTGATCAATAATTCATCTCACCCGTGTGAGGCTTTTAGGGATAGCCAAGAGAAATGTAGCTGAGCCTCGACCGAGTGTAAAAAATGAACATTCGGCTGCTGCTGTCATAGCCTGTAAGCGTGGCCAGGTGATGGTGGGACCCAGGGGACAGGAGCTCTTGGGACCTGTTGAGCAGTGTTCAGTGGAGAGCCCACTCTGGACACCCCATTACTTCTGTCCTGCTGTTCATAGGCACTGTGGGCGTCCCAACCTGGATGTCTCGTGAGCTGCTTGTATAAAGTCACCAGCGGCAAAGACACGTTCTGAATGTCGGCGGTTGTGTGGGATTAGAGCATTTGGACGTCTCAGTTCCGCAGTTCTTACCAGCTAGTGGCAATTTTCTGAGGCTTAGAAGGTGAGACGCAGTGTCTCCTCTTCTCTCTAGTCTTGGTTGTTACTTTCTAAATGATTAATCTGTGGGGAAGATGTTGGGTTTTCATTGACTGCTGTTAACAAGCTGAGCCTAGCATTGTGCCTTCGGCTGGGCTGGAGCGCGGTGCCTGGAAGAGCAGCAAGATCTGCTGTCACTCGGGTTGTTGTCCTCAGAGCTTCACGTAGGGTAGCTCGTCGGTTCCCAGAGTGGGTTTTGTGGGACATCCTGAGAGATGAATGGGTGTTCTGTGGGAGTTGGGGAAGGTGGGGAAGGCCCAAGGACATCTTGGAAACTGTTTCTCAGACAAACTGGCCCTTGCAACACTGTCCCCATCCCGTCTTGGGTGTTGGGGGACACACACTTGGAAACACAGAGCTAGAGTAGGCCCCAGCCCTGTGCTGTTGCCGTTCTCTGGCTGTGGATTAAAGAACAGAAGTGTGTTTTCCTTCATAAAAGGATTTCCATTAGAAATGAAGGTGGATGGTTGCTGTTCTGTGAACGGACAGGCTGCTCTGTCGCAGGCGCGTGGACAGTCCAGGGCTGTTGGCCTGGCCCAGCTCCGCTGCTTTGGAGGAGCGGCACCTTCTTGTGATCCCACAAAGCACGTGGTTCCAAGACCCTGGTGACAACCCAGTGGCTTTCGATGTAATAGAACTTTGCAGGGCTCATACTTCAAATCACAAAAGGCAGAGACTTACCTTTAAAATAAGAAAACACAGAAGGGCACTGACTGGACAACTGAGTAAACCGTATCCCGACCTTGGCAGGACCAGCTCTGGCAGCGCTGAGGGCTGGTGCGTCTTGCACGTGACTATCGGAAGCTTCCGAACGTGCCTGCCAAGCCCCGCACACTCCAAGACTGTGTTCTGGTTTTTAGGAAAAAAGTGCTCCTTTGTCTAGGTAAATATGTTAACTTGAGCCTCATTTCTCCTTGCATTTAGGCCTTCTGTTTTGAATTTAATCATCCGGCCTAAGCAAGTTTCTGATTTGGCCCCCCCCCCCGCCCCTGCCCCCCCTTCTCACAGCAGCTTCTATGTGATTTAATTTGATTTTAATGAGCCTGGTCAGATTCCCTCTTGAATTTGTGAAATGGACAGCGGAACAAAAGGACCTGGTTTTTCTCTTCCCTCTACGTCCATAGTGAGAAATGGAAGCCACGGAGGATGGAAGCTTCCAGGCAGCTTATGTTATTACGGTTTGTAGGAAGAGATCCCCCCACAGAACCCCCAAAGCAGGCATCTGTGAGGTTTGATCTCCTGAGGCTACAGTAAAAGAGGATTTGTGGGTGTCACTAGAGAGCCAAGTGTGGTGGCTCATGGCTGTAATCCTAGCACTTTGGGAGTGCCCCCCAAAATCTATTCACATTCTTAGAGCATATCTTGCCCAAAGCACTCAGAAACGATGAGTTAAAGCCGGGGGTGTTGGCTTGTGCTTGTAGTCCCAGCTATTTGGGGAGACTGAGGCAGGAGGATTGCTTGAGGCCAGAAGTTGGAGGTTGCAGTGAGCTATGATCACACCTGTGCACAGCCACTGCACTGTAGCCTGGGCAGCATAGTGACAACCATCTCTTGAAAAAAAAAAAAATTCCTATGTGTCACCTTGATACAGAAAGCCAAGACTTCTTGTGTAAGATGAGATGGGGAATATGGGGATGTCGGCTCTGTCTCCATCATTCTTAAGAATGTTGCTGTCCTTATGCCACACAGCTTAGGCCCCAGGGATGCCAGTTTGGAGGAGTGTCAGGGAGCGGGTAGAATTGCAAGTTAGTCCATGAAAATAGGGTAGGCACACATGCACGCCTGGGTCCAGTGAATCTGAAGCCTAGATGTGATTAATTGGAGGTGTAACTTTTGTTTTGTAAACTGTAAGGTTCTTTCTACATTCTTTTACTTTGTAGTTTGTTATAGAGGTGGAAGGCAGTTTTTAGATGCCAGTCTTTTTTGTGTGTGTGTGTGACAGGCTCTCCCTGTGTTGCCTGGGCCTAGAGCACAGTGGTGCTATAGCTCACCACAACCTGAAACTCCTGGGCTCAAGCAATCCTCCTGTGTCAGCCTCCCAAGTAGCTGAGACTACAGGCGTGTCCCACCATGCCCAGCTGATTTTTCTATTTTTGTGTAGAGATGGGGTCTCCCTGCTTGCTCAGAGTGGTCTCAAACTCCTGGCCTTAAAGTGATCCTCCCCCGTTGGCCTCCTAGAGTGCTAGGCCAGATGGTAGTTTTATAGTGCCATCTGTTCATGAAGGAGGGTTCATTCAGTTATGAAACTAAGAGATGGCTTGGTTACCATCTTCCTGGACCCTACAAAATAGGACATTTAGCATGGGAGCAAGAGGGAACAAGCCAACTGCCTTTTTCTTATCCCAAGTTCCTGATTCCGAAAGAGATACTGTATTCATTCCTGCTCAATACAGTGACAAAAAAGGCAATTTTTCACAGACTGTGACGAAGTTGGTGTTCAACTGGCGGGTCAGTGGGACTCTATCTGAAGTTCACACTAGATTGGCAAATACCATCCAGACTTGTCACTTGCATGCCAGCATGCTGATGATCGGGGCACTCGTCCACCCCAAGGCCCTGTGTGAAAAATCACACGGAAGTGACTGTGTGCAGCCAGGGGCAAGTCAGGATGGTGGTGGCCCGAGGTGGCAAAGGGCCTTAAGGCGTCCATTCCTGGGCGTCCTCAGTGGCCTCCGAGTTGGCATCTCACAGACGGAGGCAGGGCAGAACCACACGATCGGGCTCGCTCTAGAAAGCCGCGCTGGGCGTGGACCTCAGGCCTGGGAACGGCTGCGGGAAGTTGCGTGTTGTGTGAGTTCCAAGGGGCTGGAAGGCAGTGACAACTGTATTTGACGGAT